ACTTCTTTGAGTGGCCGAGGGAAGGCGCCCTGAGTTAGTGATTGATTTATAATAGATACTAAGGACTTGTTAATGTGGTCTTTATATGATTGGACAAAGATCCAGGGCACAAGTAGTGGCTTTCATGAATCCCAGGAGCTTGTCACCATCCATCATGGAAACTGGGTCAAAGTGGTCCAAAATTAGAACAAGCAGTATATTAGGCGTTTCTGCTGGTGGAGTTGTGTTACAATTGGCATTGAAATCTGAGTGTATTTTCAATATTTTATCAGCGATATTTTGCAAACGTATCACAGCTAATTGTCTGTTCCTGATACAATGAAGACTCAACTTTAGGAGTCAGCAGATGCCATGCTACCTTGGACATTTGGGATGGTCAGGAACTAGCTGATGGAGTAATGGAGAAGTCACATTTCTTTGCCACTATCACTGCTGCTTAATAATAAATTATTAACATATTTAATCACAACAAGGTCAGATGTTGCATCTTTATGTCACGTTGACCTCATGTTTTGGCATTTTAAGGCCAAATACACTTGGATCTCACTGTCACAACTGATGCATTTTGCAGTGATGAGTAACTTTTTGCATTTTAAAAATTATGCTAAGTAGTTTAACAGGAGTTGAGCTAAGTTGGACTCAAAACTTGGGGTATAGAACTCTCTTTTTATCCTACCCTGCCCCATAAGAGATCAGGATAATGTACATTGTTCTTCTCCCATCCCATGTTCTCTTCACAACTGTCCTGTGAGGTAGAGTAGGCTGAGGGAGAGTGACTGACCCAAGCTTCCTTGGAAAGCTTCATGAGTGGTGGGTGTAAATCGGCCTCTTCTAGTCTCTATCCAGTAGGTCTCACTGACTCACTTTTAGCCTGATGCATTTATACAAATCAGTTCCAACTGCTCTTACGAAGTGCTCAATCCACAATTGGTATCTGGCAGATTTTGTGACAAGAGTGTGAATGCTTGTCCCTGATGGGATGTAGTCATTTGCCTGGTCATGCAGACTCATAAATATGATGGGATGTAGTCATTTGCCTGGTCATACAGACTCATGTGCTGGACTTTGCCAAGCATAAGCAGTGGTGGTTAGGAGGGCTTTTTATCATCACTGGGGAGAGAGCCACCAGTTTTCCTCAAACTTGAAATGGCTACGTTCAATTGAGCTTTTCCAAGTTATATTGGTTGAATGCTGCTCTTGAAGATTGTTCAGCAGTACATATGTTCATAATGTGGCTCACAGTGTTCTACAGCTACTGAACCTCCTTTCTGTGTTGTAGTGACTTGTCAAATTTTAAATATTTTCTGTTAGTATTGGGGTCAACTTTAAGTGTGCTGTTTTGTCATGAGCCTTTGGGCAAGTAAACTATGGAATCCCTTTTAAATGTTGACTTGAATGAGCTTGAAAAGAAAGCGGGGAAGTTGTAATCAAGGGTTGAAAATACTTTTCAATCAGAATGGGGTCAGAATGCTGCAAGTTTACTGCTGCCCAGTGTTGACCTGAATTGGATTTTAATTGCAGCTAGCTGAAAACACTTGGGATTGTATGCAAGTGCTGGTAAATCATTCTGAAAAAGGGCAAATTTTGCTGCTGTTGGAGAACTCAGGATCAGGTGTGGATCGAAATCCAGAATTATACTTTACTGCTTGGCTGTAACCATTGCCATGTGGTGAGTTGAGTTAGTCTGCCTTTCTGCTTTGCTTTCTGCTACTTTAATTTGTTCTGATGAGCACAAAAGGCAGGCAGCTGATCAAGTGAACCATTGGGCACTGGGTTTGGGTCTTTGGGTTTGCTTTTGTTCTCACAAAATTATATAAGAGGTTAAGTGTGTTCCATTGCTTCTGTGTATTGGAACTACCAAGTTCTGTGTTTCTTCATGAGATTTAAAAAGGTAATTTTGAACAGGAAAATCTTTGAAAGTATCAGACAAGCACAACTGCTCCAGTAAGAGCAACAGCAAAGCTCCATATTCATAAAGCCTGGGCAGGTATTATATAACAATCAGTCCTGGCATTTATGTTTTTTTATTTAATGTTAAACACAGGCATTGCTTCTAATCTGTCAAAGGTTAAAGGACTAGATAGGAGCTGCGGTGGCTCAAGTGGTTAAGACGCTGAACTGCAGGCTGTGGAAGGTCAGTAGTTCAGCAGTTAGAGACCCGGGTGCCGCATGATGGAGTGAGCTCCCATCTCTAGTTCCAGCTCCTGCCAACCTAGCAGTTCGAAAGCAAGAAATTGCAAGTAGATAAATAGGTACCACTTCGGTGGGAAGGTAACAGCGTTCCATGCGCCTTGGTGTTTAGTCATGCCGGCCACATGACCACGGAAACGTCTTCGGACAGCGCTGGCTCTTCGGCTTTGAAACGGAGATGAGCACCGCAACCCTAGAGTCCGATTCGACTGGCTTTCGAGCAAGGGAACCTTTACCTTTACCTTAAAGGACTAGATAGACAGGTGGTATGACCACTGTGAACAAATGGTATGAAAGAATGAGCTGCATTGCAGAAAATCTCATCATGAATAAGAATATTTGTTATATCATCGATCTTTATCAAAATAATTCTATGTTTGGTATATGTTTGGTATATTATTGAAAATTATAAAAGAAAATTTAAAAGAAAAAAATGAATAAGAATATTTTAAAATCTTCAAAAAAAGATTGAAACCTGCATTTCTGACACATACCAATAATTACTTCCTACTATATAGGAACAGTGACTTTTTAAAGTAAGTTTTTGTTGTCATATTGCTCATGGCTACTCTTACAAGTACATGAAAATAGTAACCAAAATTAATAGTCACAAGAAATTAGACTGACATTTATCTTTGTTGCTGTGGCATTACTATGTCTCTGCACACATCCATTCCTTGCTGAAACAGCCTGTGGTAGTGTTCTGTGCTGCCTGATGTACATGTGGATATTTCCCACTGCTTCAGATCCCAGATGTAGTTTTTCTTTATGATTTAAGGACATCCCCCAACATAAGCATGATTGTACATAGGAGTGGCTGTGGGGGACATTCCTGTGTTGTTAATTTTTCATGTGGATAGCAGCCCACAGTGATTATACATAATACTTATTGAATCTGTGCTCTTTATATGCTCTTGTTTCAACAACACACATCTTTATTCTAGCTGATAGGAAAAAATGATTGGTAAAAGGCTACACTGAACAAAGCCAGCTTTAACAGAGGCAGAACATAACAGAAGCATTTACATAAGAATTTGAATATTTCTTTGCCTGTTTCTATTTTATGCAAGAGTTAGACCAGCATATTAGAGACTGGTGTGGTGTATGCATTATTCATAGACCTATTTGTGCTGCATTACTCATGGCTTCTCAAGCATCTAGGTATGCTTTCTAAAAGATTTCTAAAACAGTGTATTCATATTTTATGCAGCTGTATATATTGTGGCTGAGCTTGCATTACTTGTTTACTCAAAACTTCCTTTCAAATCAAACATCCATCTTAGAATACTTACAGTGGGATTTCTGGGTTTGCAAGAAATGTGGGTGCAAGTTCATTACAGTCCTGTATTCTTTTTCACCCTTGTGTAATATCCTTCTACTTCGTAAGGCAGGTGCTTTGTTTCCTTTGTTTGAAGCCTTTGGAGACATTTGTGATTTCCACTGTGGTATAAAATGGCTGTGTTGCTAGTTCCTTCTCACTTCCTCGTGTCTCCATCCCTTTAATTTTGCTTAGAGTATTGCTGCAGTTTGCTTTGCTTTGCGTCCTTTGTGCTTTCTGGATGTAGACTACATTTTAAGTATGAGAGAATTCAGTGTTCCTATGACTTATCTGCTATATAACTCTTTGTAAATAGTCTGTTACTTGAAGTATTCATAAAGCCTGAATAAAGAATTCTCATAACAAAGGTTTGTGGGAGAGCAAGAGACTGCTTATTAGTGATATAATCCCCTAGCCCATCTGAAACTAATTAGATAGCTCTAATATTCTACTTTTACTGTTCACACAGACACAGTTTTCCCCATAACTGGTTAACCGTCACTCTAGGTATCATTTGAGTTGATCAGGACTAAGAATGGGCACAAACCAAATTATGAACTGAAATTCATCACGAATCAGGCCAAGTTCGTGGTTCGCAATCCTTGGTTCTCCCACAAACCAAACCGTTGTTCTTGGAGGTTCGTGAGGTTTGTGAGAGTGGTTCATGGGCCAGACATGCTGGTACCAATGAAAATTTTCCAGGCATGGTTGTGTGTGTGTGCGGACTTCTGCAGCTTTTCTGCAGCCCTGGAAACACCAGTAGTGGCCCTCCAAAGCTTGATAGGAAACTTTGGCTGCCAACAAAAGACCTCCCATTCTATGGATATATACCCCCAGCTCACACTCAGCTGCTTTCCCTTTGCAGCAGGCAGTTAGGCAGAGAGGGAGTAGTTACTATTACAGGCAGAGAGGGAAGGAATTGGAAGTCTGTGTGAACAGTGTTGATGCTTCAGGGCTCTGAGCCATACCTGTCTTTCTGCTACAGCCAGACAGAAGGGCTCAGCCAGTGGGTTCCTTGGCTGAGGACCCACACAATCCCCTTCAGTGGGAGTTTTGTGCACCTGTTCCCAGCTGGGGCGGTATCTGGTGTTCTCAAGGCTCTGAGCCACACCTGTCCCTCTGCTACAACCGGGCAGAGGGGCTCAGCCTGTGGGTTCATTGCCTGAGGACCCACACAGTCCCCATCAGTGGGAGTTTTATGCACCTATCCCTGGCTGGGTCGGGGTCTAGTGGTCTGAGGGCTGTGAGCCATACGTGTCCCTCTACTACAGCCAGGCAGAGGAGCTCAGCTGCAGCCAATCCTCACCAAAGCATCCCACAGCCAATCATCACCAAACTTGGAGGACAAGTAGAGGGGCATCCTGGGGAGGTCTTCTGTGAGTTTGATGTCTCTAGCTTGCAGGGGGTCTGTTCGACAAACTCCTAAGAGAGCACTTTCCTGGGGGCACCTGCTTTGGGGGGCTGTAACTCGGCCCCCCTAAATACAGTCCTCACCAAATTTGGAGGGCAGGTAGAGGAAAATCATCTGGAGACTCACTGAGAGTTTGGTGTCTCTAGCCCACTGTGTGTGTGTGTGTCTCTACTGCACCACAAACCTCACAAACCATGCACCAGTTTGTTAAACGGAAAGGAACCTCACAAACCTCATCCCTAGTGAGGACTGATTTATTGTTAGGGTCTATTCATATCTGATTATTATCATGTGTCAGGCTGGTAGAATTTTAACAAAGTTACCTAGCAGCATCTGGTCTTGAAATCCCAATAGATATTGGGTGGACATGGAAAAGCTTTTTAATTTGTGGAAATATGTCACCATTGTACTGTACTTGTATTAACTCTGGGGTTTTCTTTCCCTCTGCCCAGATAATCTCCTGGGAATTTCCTGGGTTGATAGTTCCTGGATTCCAATATTAAACAGTGGAAGTGTATTGGACTACTTCTCAGAACGTAGTAACCCATTTTACGATAGAACATGCAACAACGAAATGGTCAAAATGCAACGAGTAACCTTGGACCACTTGAAGTAAGTTACTTTAAGTATAGTAGTGATCTATCAGACTGTTTTCAGAATGGTGGCTGTTAGTTTCTGTGAAGGGTCCAATAGTCCAGTATTTGGTTCCATTTTCCTTTTCCATTTATAATTAGCTGTGTCTTATAGTTTCAAATAATGAAGCTATCCTTTTAAAAATTATTAATAATTTTACAAATAAACTATGAACCAAGGCATTTCTTGGAAAAGAAATACTAATGAGGCCAGAGAAGTACTGTGCCTTTTTGCATTTTAAAGTATACTCCCTAGAGAATAATTTCAGTGATTTCATTAGTAAGTAGTTACCCAGAAACTTCCTGGGGCTTTATTTCTGCTTATTCTGAAAATGCTTAATAATAAAGCTGCTGCCTTCTTTATGGATGTTTTGAAATTTTGTTGATTTTTGCATGTGTTGCATATTAGGCTTGCAATGATGTTCAAAGCCTGATTTAACCCAAACACTGATTTAATATCACTTTTTGTCCCATTACCCATCAGTGAATGGGTGACAAGTGGGGTTGCTAACTGCCTGGAGAAAAACAGTGTCCTATACCTTTAAGAGAGACCTTACCTCCATGCCATGGAAAGCTTCATCTGCCCATTTCTACACATTTATTTATTCAGTTATTTATACCCAGCCTTTCTCCCCAGTGGGGGCCCAAGGTAACTTACATCTTTGTTAGGGTTGCCAAGTCCTACCTGTTGTTGCAGCGGGGGACTCCCGGCTCACTCCTGGAGTGCTCACACGCACGAAGCGCGCATGCGCCACAACCACGTCACCCGGAAGTGACGCGATCACGCCGGGCACGCTGGGGGCGGGGCCACGACCACCCGAGGGAAAACCCCGGGGGGACTTGGCAAGCCTAATCATTGTTCTGTCCTCCATTTTATGCCCATGATAAACCTGGGAGGCAGGTTAGGCTGAGTGTGTGTGACTGGCCCAAGATCAGCTATCAACCTTGCATGGCAGAGTTGGGGTTTCAAATCTGGTTCTTCCAGATCCTAGTCTGACCGTTGTGCCACATTTAAACTTATTAAACCTTTATTAAAGGGACAGGACATTTTTCTCAAGGCCTGCTGGCAGTGCTAGTGACAGGCCTTCTTAGTTGGTCTCTGTTGAATGCAATAAGATTGAATCTTTTTTCTTCCTTCCAGCCAAATGGTTGGTGTAGAATATATTCTTCTCCATGCACAAGAGCCTATTTTGTTCATCATTCGTAAGCAGCAAAGACAATCCCCCGCTCAAGGTAAGGATTGCCGCAGTGTTCCTCTTAATGTTTCTATCTTTTAAAAATAAGGAGCAAACCAGCATGTAAGTACACTGTCACACACCGAGGGGTCTCCATAGGGTTCAGCACAGCTATATCCCTCCTGCCCACCTGAACACAGGAAAAGCATATTTCCTGACGGGTTTCAACATCCATGCTGAGGCCTTCCTGTGCTGTCTAGCTCAGGATTTCATTGCTGTCTTGAAAACCTTGACTGTGACCAACATTGTATTTGGTGCACTGAGCAGATGAATAGGGCTGCCAGGAGGCCTGGAGAAAAACACTTTGCTGCTTTAATAGAGGATTAATGTGGTAAATACCATCACTGTTAAAGTGATAGGAGAACATGCTCTAGTTGTTTTGTCATTGTTATTGTTTGTTGTATTTGTGAATCCCCAACCCCTGTTTCTGCAGGGCTCTGGGCAATGTACAACCACAGATAAAACAAGATAAAATCAGTTAAAACATTAGTAGAACAGTAAAGACGTGGTAGCTTACAGGTCCCCAACGTGATGCCCATGGGTGCCATGGTGCCTGTCGACACCTTTTCCTGGTGCCTGTCAAGTGCTTTTAGAAGGTGGGAGAGGCTAGGAGGGGCATTTGCCCAGCAGGGCTTCTGGTTGGCTGTGCAGATTAAAAGGCATCTCGTTAAACAAGGCTTCTCGAAAGAGCTCTCTCAGCCCCACCTACCTCACAGGGTGTCTGTGGTGGGGAGGGAAAGGGAAAGGAGATTGTAAGCCACTCTGAGACTCCTTCAGGTAGTGAAGGGTGAGGTATAAATCCAATCTCCTCCTCCACTGCCGCCGCCGCCTCCTCTTCTCCTGAAATGTCAGATTGTTAATATTAGAGTTATGTTTAACCTTAGGTAAAGGTTCCCTTGCTCGAAAGCCAGTCGAATCCGACTCTAGGGTTGCGGTGCTCATCTCTGTTTCACAGCCGAAGAGCCAGCGCTGTCCGAAGATGTTTCTGTGGTCATGTGGCCGACATGACTAAACACCAAGGCGCATGGAACGCTGTTACCTTCCCACCGAAGTGGTACCTATTTATTTACTTGCAATTTCTTGCTTTCGAACTGCTAGGTTGGCAGGAGCTGGAACTAGAGACGGGAGCTCATTCCGTCATGCGGCACCCGGGTCTCGAACTGCTGAACTACTGACCTTCCACAGCCTGCAGTTCAGCGTCTTAACCACTTGAGCCACCGCAGCTCCATGTTTAACCTTACTCCTTGACATTTTGTGATTCTCCACCTCCTCTAGCAGCCGTTTTGTGATTGTGCCCACTGCCCTGTGTCAGAATTCTAAAGGTGCCTGGATGCTCAAAAAGGTTGGGGGCTCCTGTGGTAGATCATTTCTCGATCAGGTTTAGATTTGCAGTTCCCTATAGCCTCTGCAGGTTCAGAGGCCTGTTAGAATTATCTGCCCCTTTTGATTGCTGGATTGAAATAGTTTCCTGATAGCTTGTAGGGATTTTTTCCAGTGGATGTGACTGGGAATTCCGTTGCAGGTGTGGTTGATCTCTGAAGTGGAGAAATGTCCCAGTCAGCTAGTGTTTGGGCTTCTCTTCAGCAGGCTGGAGACCAGTCAGCTCTCTATTGTTTACTAAGGAGCTTGGGGGAAAGAAATGGCGTGAATGATGGCTAGAGTGTTGGCAGCAAAAGACCTACAACTATTGTGCTTTACATTTCTCCTTCTTGGCACCTGATGGCCCAGGGGGGCTGGCCAGCTTGAGGGAAAAGGTAGTGATTATCTTTGTGGAAAGGCATGGTCCTTATTCCACTTCAAGACACTACAAAACAGCTACTGCTGGAGATATTCTCCTTTGATTCCTCTGATCTAACAACTGTCAGCCAATCGAATATTCTGTTCTGGGACAAGATGGCGTTTCATAGCTTCTCATCTCCCAGGTGTTTTGTTTTTGGAATGAAACATGTTATCTGTACCCTTTTTCAATTTGGTTGTCAACCTGGTTTGGGTATGGAAGCAATCTTGGTCACCTTAGCTGATGACTACATCAGCGAATGAACAGGGGCAGTTCTCTTAGATGACTTGGCAGCTTACAGTACCATTACCCTCAGTACTGGGCTCTGGAGGTTGTGTTCAGTGGTTGTCCTAGTTTCACGCTCCATTCTGATGTATGATTTGTCCATTGCTGTACTTAATTTGATTGTGTTATACAGGGTTCTAAAAACTATGGGTAAATTGCTATGAAGTTTTTTGGGTTTTTTGTATGAAGGGCAGTGTATCAGTTTTTTAAATAAAGCAGTCTTGGGAGTGGAGAGTATCTATGTGCATCTCATACTTCCTTTCCGCTCAGTCAAGACAGCCAGTGTGATAAAGTGGTTACAGTTGTTGGACTAGGATCTAGGAGATCCAGGTTTAAATATCCACTTTGCCAAGGAAGTTTGCTGGGTGACCTTGGGTCACATGCTTTCAGCCTAACCCATCTTAGTGTTGTTGTGAGGATAAACTGGAGGAGGGGAGAACGATGTAGACTGTGTTGTGTACCTGTTGGGGAGAAATGAAGTAAATGACTAGTTTTGAGGGCTCCAGCACTTGGCCAATCAGAGGAGGGCTGGATATGAAAGATATGTTCCTCCCCTGCCATTCCCCAATACACTTGGCCAATCAGAGGAGGGCTGGATAGGGATATGAAAGACATGTTCCTCCCCTGCCATTCCCCATAATAGTTGCTTGTACTTCTTCAAAGTGTGGGGGAGAAATACATGAAGATCTTTATATATGTGGGCTCTGTGCTTATCTAGGGAGGGTGTCATGATCTGGAGATCTGTGCAGGACTTAGGGTTGCCAAACCCCCCAGTTTGCCAGGGGTCCCCCGTTTTGGCAGGGGGGTTCTACCCCGCCGCTGACCAGATGGCCGGTGGGGAAGCCCTGCCCCCAATACCCACAGCCACCCCTCTCCCTTTTCTCTTGAGAGAGAGGGGTAGCTGCCTTTAAGTGCATGGACGTTTCCTCCCAAGCCCGCTTGAGATCAGGCTTGGCTTGCAGGGAAATGTCAGCCTGTACTTAAAAGGGAATTGCCGGCTCTTTGCTCTTAAAGGGGAAATGCAGCTCCGTACATTTAAAAGGGAAACGCCAGCTCCTTTAAGTGCAGGGAACTGGCCTTTCTGGAGATCGAGCGTGTGGGTGGGGCGGCGGATGTCCCCAATGTGATGTCATCACATCGGGGATGCCCCGCCCCCTCCAGGAACGCCCCCAAAGTCCCCCACTGGGGGCGGAAGATGGATTTGGCAACCCTAGCAGGACTGGGCCTAGTGAGGCCTAAGAGACCTGTCTGGGAGTGGGAAGCAAACAGCCTACAATCCCCATAAGGCTTTGCGTCAGCAGTAACCAATGGGGGTCAAGGAGCCTATGAAAAGGGTAAGGAACTCAGTTGCACCTTGAATAAAACTTTGTTGGTTTTAAAAGTGCTATGTATCTCTCCCATGCAACTGAGGCAGCTGAGCAAAGCAAGGCAGAAGTAAGAGGAGGAACCTCAGCCAATGGAGGGGTAGAAAGGCTTACCTTTGTCTCCTGTGCGATTGAGACAGCTTGGCCTGGAAGCAAGCTCTGGCTCATTCTCTGCTTCCCCCTGGGGGGAGGAGCCTCAGCCAGTGCAGGGAACAGAAGCCTGCCTATCTATCTATCATGTGCGATTGAAAGAGTCTGGTAAAGCAAGTTGTGATGCAGCAGCAGCAGAACTGTAGAAAGAAGCAGGAGACAGCCAGTTTCTTGCAGGCCAGATAGGAGCCCTCCAAGGGCCTTATCAGGTCCACGGGCCACATGTTTGACACCCCTGTGGGAGAATTGCCTCTCCCCTTTCAACAAGACAAAAAGAAAGTCCAAGACAGCATGGAGGAGCCAACCTCCCCCCCCCCCGCTGGATAGCTCAGGTTGGGGGCAGCACAGTTGACCCCCCAAAGGCTCTGACTTGGTAGTACTACAGTTTTATAGTGCTTATATTCTGGACTGCTGGTGCAAAGTGGAGGTTGAGCCTTGGTGTGCCATTTAGGTTGGGGAGTGCCTCCACCATAATCTTCTAATTAGTATCCCCCCCATCATTGCTTCAGGTGAGAAGAGACCCTGGGCCCCCTGCCTGCCCTCGTGAGGCTCCAACTTTTTGTGTCAATATATTTAATCTTCCATCTGGCCCCATGTGTGGATATTTAAATTCAGAGATTGGATTTATGAATAGAAAAGGCACCCATACCTTTAAGAAATGGCTGCCTTCTGATATTTCAGAAGTCATTATGGAGGGGGTGGGGTGCTATGCAACCACAACAGTATTGCCAGCCTTCAAAGCTGGGTTTCTGTCAGTAAAAGGCAGGAGGGAGGGCCCTTATTAGGACTATTTTGGCATCTCTTGCTCCCTTCCTTCTTGCAATGGAGGAAGGACTCATCAGGGAAGGGTCAGAAGCACCCACCAGGCAACTTGCTATCATGCAGTTTGTATGACTCAGCTGGAGCAGTGGTGGGTACCAAATGACTTAATTTGCCTAGGACTAGTGGCAGCCTCTGCACAACTTGCCTGGGCCTGACAGTGGCTAGTTCCCAACTCACCTAAACAACTTGCTACTCCTCGTCTTTTGCATCTTGGCCAGACTTTTCCCAGGGAGGGAAGAAGGAAAGTAGAGAGTCAGCAGCATGGTGTCATGGTTAGAGTGTCAGACCAGGATCTGGGAGACCCAGATTCAAATCCCCGCTCTGTTGTGAAAGCTTGCTGGGTGGCCTTGAGCCACTCACTCTCTCAGCCTACCTCACAGGGTCGATGCGAGGATAGAGCAAAGAACTTTCTGGTGATCTCTGGCCCAAAAGATATCTGGCTGTCCTCAACCAGAGCCAGGGCCTTTTCGCCCCAGGTGCCAGCCTGGTGGAACTCTCTACAGCTCCGCAGGGCCTGTAAGACAGAGATGTTCTGCCAGGCCTATGGTTGAGGACAACAGCAGTTTCCATTGTGCCTGGCCTCTCCTTTTTGTCCTCTTCTCTTTTGGCCTCCCTTATGGGGTAAGGGGAGGAATTGGTCTGTAAGTGCCATCTTGTAATAGCTACTAGAATTTTTGTAATTTTACACGTTTATTGATTTGATTTGATTGTAATTTCACTGAAATGTTGTTCACCACCCTGAGCCCTACATGTAGCGGAGGGCGGTCTATAAATTGAATAAATAAAAGTAAGTAGAGGAGAATGATACTGCTTTGGGTACCCATTGGGGAGAAAGGTGGGGTATACACAAAATAAATAATAAATTAAGCTGAAGAGTGGTGGGGGCAGGTAAAAGAAAGTTTGGTTGGTGAGTGGAAAGATGGAAACAGGGAAAGGGGAGACTATATATGGGGTGCCAGGAGGAAAGAAAGAAGTAATAGTGTGGGAAAGGGGATACAGGGTGAAATGAAATCATCCCCCCCCCCCCAAGTCCTTGTGGTTTCCGCGCTTGTATATACACAGAGCGAGAACACGCTGTATGTATTTTTCTCTGTTTGGAAGATGGACTTGAAGTACCATGAATGATCAATAAATTTTGAGCTACTGATCCTTAAGTTGTAACCCAGTGCTATGGGTTACTCTTTTACAGTTATTCCATTGGCTGATTATTACATTATTGCTGGAGTGATTTATCAGGCACCTGATTTGGGGTCAGTTGTAAACTCTAGAGCGGTAAGTTTCTGTCTTCTTTTTTAAAAATGATAATAAGAGTTGCCTGTGTAGTACTTGGTTTGTTCCCTGATTGCTTAAATCCCCCCTCTCCAAGGCTATCCTCTTTTAATCTTTTCTGGAAAATGTACAAGAGCCTAAGAGCAATAAAGAAAAAAAAAGATGACGCATATCTTTGAATTAACTGTTACATAGTGTATATAGGGCTGCCAAGTCCCCCCGGGGGGCAGAAATCCCCCCGGCCCAGAGGCCCGTTCCCCGACGCCGGGGAATCAGGCCCTGGGGGGAACCCTGCCCCAGTGTGCACGTCACAGGGAAGTGACGTTATGACGCCGGGCACACTGGGGGCGGGGCCACGGCCATACAAGGGAAAACTCTATAGTTTTCCCTTGTATGGTTGTGGCCCCGCCCCCAACGTGCCCGGCATCATGACGTCACTTTCCTGTGACGTGCATGCGGCGCACGCACCGGGATCCGCACGGGAGTCCCCCGCCGGCAAGGTAAGTGCCACTTGGCAACCCTAAGTGTATAGTTTTTATATTAGAGGTGGGAATGACCTGAATTAGAGGTGGGAATGACCTGGCACCAGAAACGTGCCAGGACCTGGTCTGAACACTTCTAAATGCAACCTTTAAATATGTGTACTAACAAATAGTCTTTCCTGCCCCCTATATGTCTCCAACCCTTTTGTTTCACTGATTGGCAGGGGGTCTGTCACATGGTAATTGTCTCCTTCCCCTTTCTGATTTTGGTATAAGAAACCAAAGGAAGACTGTAGGCACCAAACTAGCCCAAAATATTGCGCTGAATATATATGGGATTTTATTTTGTGTGCTTTGTTTTGTATGGCTACTGTATGGCAGTGCAAGGGAAATGATACATTTTGTTACCTATACTTTATAAAGCTCAGTGCAGTACATGGAATCCAGTCAGCTTTTGAGGAAGCCTTGTCCTACTGCCGCTATCACCCATCCAAAGGCTATTGGTGGCATTTCAAAGATCAAGAAGAACGAGGTAGGATTTCTAAGGAGTCTGGGCTCTAAAATCACTCCCCCCCTTTTTCATCAGTGTGCATTCTAAGATTAGGTGTGGTCTGTGCTGAAATTTGTTAATACTGCTGATTTTGCTTAAAACAGCCAAGAAGAGGTAAAATATTACAGAAATGTTCTGAATCAACATAGTGTTGGAGTGGGCTCCCAGTTTTGATTAGTGTGATTGCTTTACGACCTTAAATTTGTGGGTAGGGACAGCAAGAGGGGGGGAAAAAATCTGTCTTCTTTCCACACTACGAAAGGGACTGATACTATAGAAAAGCCACGTGATTGTTTTTGATTTAGCATCACTGTATAATTAATAAGTAGAAATTTGAGGAGTATATTTGAATGGGAGGAGGGACTAATCTCCTTCATAGAAAACCTAAAGTTATCAGTAGAATTGGTAGAAAATTGTAGAAATGAAAGCTACTGTAAAAAGACGTGTGTGTGAAGAGAGTCAGGGAAACACCTGCGCAGTGAAAAATGAAGATGAGAAACTGAATCCATAAGTGAGTTAGTGAGCACAATGATACCTCCTTAAGTATTTAGAAAATGTTAACAAACTATTGTTGTTATTCCTTTTGCTCTTCTCATCATATTGCCGTTATATTCTTGTATTGTTACATGTTGAAAACAAAATAATTTTTTTTAAAGTGAGTTAAGGATCAGTGAAAGAAAAAAATTCTGGCTTGATGGGGTACTTTCATTGTCTCAACTTCTATTTTCAGATAAAACCAAACCCAAAGCTAAGAAGAAGGAAGAACCAAGCTCTATTTTCCAGAGGCAACGTGTAGATGCGCTACTTCTTGATTTGCGGCAAAAGTTTCCCCCTAAATTTGTGCAGGTATTAAGTTAAATTGTATTCATTTTGAGGTGGATGTGCAGGGGGTCTTTATAAAGGTGGTAGAGCTGTGTTACCCAACCTAAAGGGTAGAATATTCTGCTAGGGTTAGATGTGTTCTCTTGGTAAAAATTTTTAACCACAATGATGGATAATTAATTTTTAGCTTTCCACTATAAAAATCTGGAAAGCCGTACTGGAAACATCTCTTGTATGAGTTTGGTGGAAGTGAAAGTCTTTGCATAAGCCTACAGCTATGCAGTAGCTTTTCCCATTTATCTCTCTGAACGTTGTGATGCACATCTGTGGATTGTACCTTTTTGTATTCCATATCTTAAATCTTGGCCTTAACACGCTGCTGTTGGTCTGTGATGTGGTTGATTTAAGATAGGACCCTCAAAGTGGTTTGTTCATTTTAGCGTATCCTTTTCTTTGTCGGAGGGGAAGACAATGTGATCATGAAGACATTGGCATGAATCAAGTAGCAGTTCCTACCTATGTGCATTCATTAATGACTTCATCTAATATTGTGTATGTAAGGGGAAACAGAATTTTGCCTGACAAGCAGTGGCCAGTTTCTCAGCTGTGATATAACAGTAGGTGCTTGTCTGTCTCTGATTTATTCCTGACTGAGCATTCATAAATGAGGTGGCAAACATCACAAAGCTTTGAGAGCCCATTCCCAGCTTTGTCCTGAGTCTCTGTACCCCTGTACATTTTATAAATATAAAGATCAGTTTACAAAGAGTATGTCAAAGCCAGGGCATGTCCTTCTGATTCATGAGTTTGTTTTTTCATTTTTTCCCCACAGCAAAAACCTGGAGAAAAACCCATCCCAGGTAAGAATTTGGTTACTTTTTTTTAAAGGGCCAAATCCAGACATTACGTTTCTGCTGGGGCATTTAGGAAGATTGCCACTACTAGCACCAAAAGTGTTTAAATGTAAAGATTCACTGTAGTAGAATTTCAAAGAATTCTCAAAGGAAAGACAAACCAACCAACCACCCCCCCCCCCCCGAACCAACAACAATGGTCTGTGAATTCTTACAAATGTCCTGGTTGCAGGAAGCCTGATTCATAGGTAGGGCAACTGAATAGCAGCAGGTTACATGACGTCTGAGTCCTGGAAGTTTTATACTGCTTCAGTGACCCTTCAAATAAAGTGGGGATGTAAGCAAATTAGGGAAGCTCAAAAAGTTGTTTTCCCTTGGCTAACGGTATCAGTTGGATAATTGTTCTGTTCCTGCAAAAGTGGAACAAGAAGAAATGTGGTGCTGGATGTTTCCTGCTACAGTTCAGTGTAGTTCCATAACTTAAGTGTTTTGGATTAAATTGCACATATTTTATTTCACCAGTGGATCAGATCAAAAAGGAGCCTGAGCCAGCCCCTGAAGCTGTCAAGCAAGAGGAGAAAGAGGCTGCCAAGATCACTCAGCAGAGCACTAGCTCCAAAGGCCCGCCAGAGAAAAGGATGAGATTGCAATGAGAAGTGGTACAATGACACTCCAATATACAAGAAATAAATTAGTAAATTATATTTCTTCCCTGTCATTGTGGTCTGAATACTGCCCTGAGGACTACAACATTTAAAGGCTTAAACATATGAAATTGTGTTTTCTCCTTTGAATTGAACCGCTTACCCTGAATTAAATATTCAGAAAGCTGTTAGCAAACCGTTTGGTGCAGACAGGAAGGAATGGCACATCCCCTTGCTATTTTACTGTTCACAGCTCAGTTTCACTTGATGTATTTTTTCCATCATCAAAATCCATTATTTTCCAAGCCATGAGTAGGTGGCTTTTCTTTGAATGAAACTTCCCCTTTTTCATAAAGCATAGATCTTGGTATAAGTGCTTTGGGGAAGACTGCTTCTTCTGGCTCTGATTAGTAGATGTGCCTTTAAAACGGGAGAGCAACGATTACCTGTTGGGCTTATATGGAGAAAGGTGCAAACTGTATTTTGGTACTGAAGAATGAAGATGTCTGCTGTAGATAAGACAGTTTGCATAACTGCTTTGTAAAATCCATATAAATGGATTTCAGAGTCATGGTAAATTGCCTATGCTCCTTGATCTTTCTCTTAACACACTATATACCTTGAACATTCACTCTTTCTAACAATACCGGGTTATGAGTTCATGATGTCAAATAAAAATGCTTTGTATTTTTTTTAAATGATACAGAGGGCTGGCTGAATAAACATGATTACATTTTTCTGAACTTGAAATTGTCATCTTCCTGATACACCCCCTCCCCCAAATTAGACTCATAAAAAGAGGATAAATTAGGAAGGGTTGGCGTGCTATGCTACTCTTTTTGTCCATCTGATGGCATAGTACTTGCATTGGCAAATGGAGGTCAGTAACCAGTGGCTGAATTTAGTTGGGTTGCAGTAGTATTCTGTGGACTTTCTGTTTAACAGCCAAGTGTGGTCCTTCAGGTATGGAACAGATTGTGCCCAGAACATAGTTTACATTTCACTGCTTTCAGCAGCCATTAACTACTTAGATACGGTGCCTGGTAATAAAAAGTAAACCATCATTTTATAAATTTTGTGCTGTTCGGAACTCTTTCTGTTTTTAACCTTTCTGAAATGCTTTATAACTGAGGAATCAACATGTCAGACCACAACTGTAGTGGCAACTGCTTACACTGAAGACATTTGTTTGTGTGGTATCTCCAGTTTGTAAATGGTATATTGTTTTAATTGATAGGAGCAGGAATAAATTATTTTTGTGAAAATACATCTTCTGTATTGTCCTTTTTTCTATCTGTTTGGTTGTACTTAGTACATAGAGTTATTTTTGACGGCAGGGATAGCATCAAGGGTCAGCATGGCTGGATACTGCTGAGTCCCACACCTACTGAAGGATCACTGTTGTGCACACACATCCCACCTGCTCCCTCCAGGAATGGGAGATTGCTGTAGGAGACCCCAAAACATTTTTGAAATTTCCCACAGAAAGAAGTTCCTGGGGGCAGCAGAATGTAGTTGTCATGTTAAGCAATACTCCACTGCCTTCTGTGGTGCTTCGCTGACCAGGAAATGAAAGATTTTCCCGAAGACTCCTATGGTGTTATAGAGGCCTCTAGAATGAGTGCTTGTTCCTGTGGGAAGGGTGCTGACAAAGGCAGCAGAGCACAGTATTTTGCACCTCTGGCAAGACTTAAAGGAGAGCAAAGCTGTCTATGTCTTACTGGACCATACCCAGCCAGTTATCCTGTATGGATTTATTTCCTTTTTTTAAAAAAGCCTAATTAACCCCCTAAATTTTAGTAGATAAGCAATCTTTAGCAGAAACCAGATTGCAGTTTTCAGATTAGTGAAAAGACATATTACCAGTTGCCAGTTTTTAATCTAACCTCAATAAGAATTTTATTTTAAAGATTTAAACTTTAATAAAATGATGCTTGGTTTCTTACTGGGATTGCAGAATTGCCCCATGACTTCTTTCTTTGCCTACAGCAACATGAGTCATTTTTTCCAATAACCTACAAAGACATTTGAAGAAACTCGTGTCTTATTCTTACCGTTAACATTTTAGAGCATCAGATTGTTAGCTGAGATAGAAAATTCTCAACTCATTCTAGAATTGATACTCAAGTGTAATGTGGTAAGAGGACTGAGATGAAGCAGTGGCAGTTTCAGAAATATGACCCATAAAACAGTGGCGCCTGTTCTGTCTCTCAGATGGCTGTAAATTTTGTGAATTGCTGTTACAGAATGGAGATCTTTTTTCTTCATCAGGCAAGTGTTCCCTGCCAAACCTGCTATGCCCCCAATTAACCCTTCAGTTCTCTGCTTTATAAATTGCTAGTGTCCTGAACTGGGAGTTCTGTTCAGATGTCGAGACTTACTCTGCTTCACTTAGCTGGGCAAGGGGGTGGCGCCATGTCATTTAGTTACTAAAAATGATTGCTGTCTGAAGTCAAATAAATGCTGTCTAGTCATTTAAAAGTAAATGTAAATACTGTCTGAAGTGGAATAATCTGCTGGATGGTATCCATAATCCTATGCATGTGTTCAAAGTGTGGTGCAAGTGTGCTCTATGGTAAGTGGCAGTGGATGGTTGGTTTTTGTATATAACACCTTTCACATTATATATCATAGTAAACACATGTTTTATATGTGGAACTGGAAAGCTATAAAGTTGCATATGTAGAGTATCTCTGCTGGTCAATTGTTGTAAGCTGTGTTGTATTCTTCAGTTAAAATAAACACACAACATGAATAGCATGGTGTGTGACAACTGAATCAAATCAATTTCTCACAGGTTTGAGATGTGTTGAATCACAGCCTCCCTCCACTTGTCATAAAGAACGCTTTGGAGCCAGGCTGTGTGTATCAGATTCCTGCCAGACTTCAGTAAATCTACCACTGCAAACCTAGTCTGAAGATTTTATTAGTGTATTTTGACTTGGGGCAAGAAATGTTTATAATATTTGAGTGGACCTGTGCTTGTGAAGGTTTACAATCTACATGAGAAAATGGGAAGAAGGAAGGGATGGCAAAATTATATTGTTGAGCTCTATTTCTAATGGCATGAATTTTCCAGTCCAAATATCTGTCCAGTGCTGTCTTGCTACACTAGTTTGATAACTGCCTGGTGATACACACAAGGAAAGGATAGATGACTGTCAAAAGCAGACTAGATGTTCCAGGCCTCCAGTGGCAGTATTTATTTTATTTAAAACATTTTAATGTCACCTTTCCATCCAAATAGGGTTCCCAAGGTAGCAAGCATCAAAACATTTAAGGCATTAAAACAGCTTTTAAAGTAGCATAAAATATTTAAACAATTCAATACAAACGTATAAGCACAACCAGGGAGAAGGGACATTAACAGTTCTTGGGGGCTACACCAAACAAAACAGTCTTCATCTGCTGGTGGAAGACAAAGACTGGAGACAGATGAATCTCCCTGGGGAAGGAGTTCCAAAGTTTTGGTGCCATGACTGTGAAAGCCTTTTCTTGGGTTGCCACCTGTCTAGTCTCTGCTGGTGGGGGCACCTGGAGCAGGGCTTCTGAAGATGACAGAAGTGGATGGCTAAGTTCATACAGGAAAGGACATTCCTTCAGGTATGCTGGCCCCAAGCCATACAGGGTTTCAAAGGTCAATATCAGAACCTTGAACCAAGCCCAGAAGCATACTGGGAGCTTGTGTAAGTGGAGCCACTGAAGCAATATGGTCCCTACAACCCACTCCACCCAACATCCTGGCTGCAGCATTCCAATTGAAGTTTTCAAACACTTTCAAGGGTAGCCCCACACAAAGTACATTGCAGGATGTTAACAGCCATGGTGGCTCAGAGGTTAAGATGCTGAGCTGCAGACTGGAAGGTCTCTAAATCAGCAGATCAAGACCCTAATGCCGCTGACAGAGTGAGCTCCCACCTCTGGCCCCAGCTCCTGCCAACTTAGCAGTTTGAAAGCAAGAAATTGCAAGTAGATAAATAGGCACCACTTAGGTGGGAAGGTAACAGTGTTCTGTGCACCTCGGCATTTAGTCATGCCAGCCACATAACCACACAAATATCTTTGGACAGCGTTGGCTCTTTGGCTTGGAAATGGAGATGAGCACTAGCCCCTAGAGTTGGATTCGACTAACTTTCGAGCAAGGAAAACCTTTACCTTTTGCCTTTAATCTAGATGTTACCAGGGCATGCAGCACAGTGGCAAGATTTTTCCTGTCCAAGAGGGGCCCACAGATAAGTCACCAGTCAGAGCTGGTGAAAGCCCTAGCCACCACTGCTAGTTGGTTTTCTGACAGGACACCTGAGTTGGTCAGCACCCCCAAGCTATGAACCTGCTGCTTTAGGGAGAGTGCAACCCCATCCATTCAAAACAGGAGGTATCCCAATTCCTGGGTCAAACCTCCCCCTACAGTAGCACTTCTGTTTTGCTCAGACTAAGTTTCAGTTTGTTGCCTCCATCTATCCCAAAACTGCCTCCAGGCACTTGTTCATGGTTTCCACAGCCTCCCAGGGATCTGCTGGAAGCATCAGACAGAACTGAGCATCATTTTCATATTGGTGGTAACTTAGCCCAAAGCTCCAGATGACCTCTCCCAGCAGCTTTAAGTATATATTGAAAATCATGGGGAAAAGACAGAAACTTGCACCACACTCTGAAACTTGTCTTTGAGGAAGGAACAAAACCACTGCAGAACAGTGCCTCTGTGTCCCAACACCAAAAGGCGGCCCAGGATAGTACTGATAGATGGTATCAAAAGTAATTGAGAGGTCCAGGAGAATTAACTGGGTTGCATACTTCCCCATCCATCTCTCAGTGCAGGTCATCCACTAGGGCAACCAAGGTCATTTCAGTCCCATGCCCAGGCATGAAACCAGATTTGAATGGATCCATACAATCCACTTCATTCAGGAATACCTGAAGTTGCCTAGCTACCACTTGTTCAGTCACCTTGCTCAAGAAAGGTACATTTGAGACTAGGTGGTAGTTATTCAACTCACTCAGGTTTAGAGTAGGTTTCTTTAGTGGTAGACCCAGCACCGTCTGCTTCAAGGCCTCTCTCAGGGAGGCATTTACTGTCTCCCAGAGCCAGTCCACCTGTGCCAGCTCCCCACCACCACCACAGCGGATTTAAGCAGCCAGGAAGGACAGCTAATAGAAGACAGCAGAGGAGCAGTGCCTCCTAGTCTGCTATCTCACAGACCGAGGGTTAAGACACTGCATCAGACCATGAAAATGCTGTGCTCTTTGACAGCTTTTGAATGAATAAGGTGCTGTCTTCCTTTTGGGGGGGGGGCGAAGGGGATTTTTTTTTATTTTTGCATTTTCTACACACTACATATATGGAATGGAGAAAGGAATACTAATGCCCTATCACTATGGGAAATGGGTCAGGGAATTCTAGATACATATAATCTACTGGATAGGGGGAGGAAAAACTACGATTCTATTCTAAATCTCCTACTGGATACGGGGAAGGGATAAAGACTAATACAAATCACGATCTGGAAAGCTTAAAAATAGATTTTTTTAACCTATTAGTACTGGTTATAAAGAGATTAGTTTGATTATAAAAAGTATAAAGTTATTAGCTTAGCACAATTACTGCCCTTAGCATTCATGCTTTAGTTTTAGAGTCTTTTCTTCTTAGATTTCTTCGTTTTCTGCAGTTTGGGAGCGGCTTCTCCTTTCTCCGATTCACAGGGGTCATTTCCTGCGGGAGCGCACAGGAACGGAGCTCCGGCAGTAAAGAGCCCAGGGGCAGGCACATGCAACAAGGACCACCCCCTGCTCCCAGCAGCCCTCAGTCAGAGCAAGAAGCAGCCAGGTAAGTTGCAGAGCCCCCCCCAGTTCCCTAGTCCAAAACAGTCCAGTGGCACCTTTAACACCAAGTTTTATTCAGGTACGAGCTCTCCCTCCTCTGCGAGGACAGATCTGCACGTCCCCCCCCCCAATAATTCTTTTCCTTCTGCTTCTTTTTTACATTAAACATTTGATCCATAAATCTTTCCGCTTTTGGAACAGAGTCAATTTTATATTTTTTATCCTGGTAATTAAAACTCAACCCTTTTGGAAATAGCCATCAATACGATATTCCCTTTTTTTGCAGAGAGAGAGTAAGCATACTGTATAGTTTCCTCCTTTTTCTTACTTCGAATGGGATGTCTTTCAAAAATTTTAAGGATTTCTCCATTGTTGACTTTAGCACCAGTTCTCTGGTTGATCGTTTCATGAATTTTAAA